CTGTCCCCATGGTGGGTGTGTCCCTGTCCCCACGGTGGGTGTGTCCCCGCAGCTCCCTCTCTCCGCGGATCCGCCTCCCTTGTTCCCTGCCGGCGCCCGTAGGAGGCGGGAGCAGCGGCGGCGCGGGGCGGGCCCGGAGCGGCCCCGGGTGTTTGTCCCGGCCATTGATTGTCCCGACCATCGCCCCGGGACGGGCGGGGCGGTCCGGGCATCGCTCACCCTCCACGGGGCTGTGCCCGGAGCCCCGCGGGGCGGACGGCGGGGGAAGGCGTCAGGACCGAGAGGGACCGCGGGAGGGACCGCGTGGTGCGGCCGGGCGGCGAGTGCGGGGCGGTGGCACCGACCTGCCCTGCCCCGGGTCACTGCACCGGGACGGGATGGACGGAGCGGGGCCGGAGGAAGGCGAGGAGCGGGAGCCCGGGGCCGTCAGCGAGAGGAGTTTCCTGGAGAGCTTCACCGAGAGCCGGGAGGTCGCCGAGCTCATCGCGAACCTCAGGGGCGTCTTCGGGGAGCTGGTGACCCGGGAGATGGCCGTGGAGCGGTTCGTGGGTAAGCACGGCATCCACAGAGCGTGCTATTGCTGAACACCAACATGTTGTTATTTAAAATCTTCTATTATGTATTATTTTGTTATTACTGATAACCAAAAAGGCCCTAAAACTCTTAATTTTTAGGTCATTGATAGTGCTGGAACTTTATCAACAGGTGGTTCAGGTTTGGGTTTTTTGCTCGTTTTGTTTTCCATCCTTTATTACCTCGTATTTAGCCACTATAATTAAAAATCCTGGTCTTAGATCTCAGAAATCAGAATTCTGACTCTTATTTTGCCTCCAGTTTCCTATTCAAATGCAGGCTGTAATTCAGTTAAAATTTGTATGTTTGTCAAATGGAGTAATTTTTGTCGCTAATTACTCATCAAAACACTCACATTTTGCACTGTAAAGTATTTTTGCTCTTCTGTTTCATAGGAAATGTGAAGGGTTTTGAATCCATACAGATCAGGTATTAGTTTCTGAGTGGAGGTAACTTGGATCTGATTTTTGTGCCACCTGATGAAAGCTGTTCTGCCCTGGACCTCAGCTGAACCTGGGAGGGCTGTAATTAGGTGCCTGTAGGGGTGTCCTGGGTAATCAGCCTGTTACAAGGCACATCTGTGTGTTGGATCAATATTCTGACCAGGTGATTTGCAAGAGTTAATTCAGCACTTCATGAATTTACAAACTGACTCTCGCAGACTCGCATTTTGCAAATACTTCTGCGGAGAATTGCAAAAACTTACAGTCAAAATATTGATCCAGCAGCTGTGTTTTTGACAAAAAGAAACCAGGTAAGCAAACAATGAAGCAGAAACCCCAAATTTAGAAATTTGACCCTGCAGAAGTTCCTTACTAGTGTTGTATTTGACTGACTGAATTGACTGTTCCATCCGAGGAGGCCAGTGATGAACATGTAGCTGTTCAGGTAGAAGTACCCTGAACACTCACATTCTTTGATTGTTCAATGTCACAGGTGAAATGTCAGGTTTCAGTGGGGCAGAAAAAGCCACTGCTGCAAAAATCTCGGTGTCTGAAAGGCATCATCTCCCCCTTCTGTGCCTCTCTCTGTGTCACATCATGTGTGCTGTCTCTGGGTATTTAAATTGGATTTGTGAGCTTTCTGCCTGCCTGTCATTACCCAGTAAATACAGGCTCAATATATTTAAAACTGACAGGAACTGTGCAGGTGGTTCAGTACTGGGTTATAATATTCAGTGTCCTCAGGTGTCTTTTGATCCTTCCTGGGCAAAATGTCCCAAATCTGGTAAGACTGTGATCAATGTGTGGGCTGGAATGCTGAAATTTAGGGAATACCTTTAATCCATGTGCAGGGAACACAGTGATCATCCATTCCAGATGGGTTTAATGCAGGTTTACAAAAACTCCTGGTGCTCAGTTTTTGGTGAACCATTAGAAACAGAAATTTGGGAAATAGTTTAGTCTGCAACCACAGTTTTGTAGGAAAATGAGGAAAGATCTCTTCTGAAGTAATACCCTTAGAAGAACTGTTTTAGCTTTATTCTCTTCAGCTTTTATATTTAGGGGTTTATTTACATTGCCAGGCTGGGATCTGGGAAAAGAATTTGCTGTTAAATTCCACTTCTGCTGGAAAGCTGCTGCTTTGGGCATCGGTGGAATTTGTGTCCAGTAGTTCTGCTGTTTGTACACAGCTTAAGGCATCGTTAATTACAGTGGGAAGTTAGTGAGGATGAGGAGCTCAGGTTTCCCTCTTGATGGCATTGTGGTATCCCAGTGGAATTGCACAGGGATACTGCTGGATGGTGTCTTGAAAGTGGTTGTGCAGTGTCATCCACTGGTCAAGTGCAGCACTGTTGGAGTTGAGTCACACCTTCAGTGTAAGTGTTGATGTGTAAGCCAGAGGAAAAGGGACAGAGAGCAAAATGATTTGAGAGAGAAACAAATGCAGGGAAAGGAGAGATTAAGGAGGTTTTAGTTTTCTAATTAAAAAGCTGTTTTCTGACCAAATAGATAAAATATTCCAGGATATCTCCAGTGCAACATTGGATCGCTTGATGATTTCTCCTGGAGTCCAGTTCTCATTTCTGTAGCTGATTTTTGTTGATTCTGGGTTTAAATTGAAAAGCTTTTGTGTCTAAAAACCCTGGCAAGTTGTTCCTAGTTTTTTTTCAATATTCCATTTCAATTTGTCCTTCCTTGAGTCAGTACCCAAAAGGAAGAGACCAAAAGAGAGTGAGTGAACAGTGACAGATCAAGTGAATATTCAGGGATGTGAATAGTTCTGAGGGGCACAGATGGGAGTAGCTGCAGTTTGTGTTTGTCCAGGTTAAAATTTGTCAAGGGTTCTTTGTTCTTTGCTGAATAATTCCCTGTATTTCAAAATAAAAATGTAGCTCTCAGGGTTGTGAGGAGGACCCTCACTTGCACGGTGCTGCTGTGTGGGGTGTTTGTCTGCTGTAGTCAGGGAGCTCCCAAGAAAGAGGTGAGAATTTTGCTGTGCCTGTACCCTGTGTGAGTGCAGATCCTTTGGAGTGGAACTGCAGCTTTAGATACATTCCAGGCTTGGGAATGGCAGCCTTGGGGTGACATCCAGTGTGTCCAGGGAGCACTGTTCTCTAACTATAGTTGCCTGACTTTTCCACCTCTCTTACAGGTGGTGGCAGCCCAAGGACACAGGAATCTTAAGCTAAAGCTGTCCAGAGTCAGGGGGTATCTCACAGTTAATGCCTCTCAAAGCCTGTCATTTGAATAGTTTATTACAGATGTCTTTTTCATTTTTCAGGTATAATGGACAAGTACCAGGAGCAGCCTCACCTTTTGGACCACCACTTAGGTAGGAATGTCATCTTTAGACAATTTTTGTGTATTTACTTGAAAATCTGTTAAACTGTAAGATCCACATTTGTATTATGAGATTGATGTGACTGCATTGCTTACATTATAAGTAATTATTAATTACTAACTCTTTCTTTACTATTAGAAGTATGAAAAACTGTAAGTGAACTGCATGTAGTCTCACTGTTTTTCCTCTCCTTTCACAGAGGGGATGATGAATTCCTTGTTGGATATAGCACGGGACAAAGGATCTCCTCCCCCTCTAGTTCACCTGGCTTTTAAATTTCTTTACATCATCACAAAGGTAAAGAATCCCAAATTCAACATCCTGTAACTGAAATGTGTAAGGTTACCAATATTCTGTTTGTTATTTTCAAAAATAGTAAAATAAATCAATGTCTGAGTAATGTGATGAAATATTTCAAGCTTGACTGTGAAACGTAAGCTCTCTTTTTTTCTCATTTTTCACCACGTTTGTGATAGCTGGTTTTGTTTTTTTTAATGATCCAGAATTGTAAACATCAAGGTCTGAATGCAAAAAATATTGCAGGCATTGAGATACTGAGTGATCAGACAAGAGTCATAATGTTGAAGAGTAAAATATGATGAAGAATTAGATGGATTGTGGAACTTCTATCTGTGCACAAGGAAACAGTTCTGGACTGTGAGGGCTGAGCACTGGAATAGTTGGCTCAGAGAGGTGGTGGGGTCTCCATCCCTGAGATGTTGGGCACCCCACACACGTGGTCCTGGGCACTCTGCCATGGGTGACCCTGCTTTAGGAGGGTTGGATGAGACAATCTCCAGAACCCCCTTGTTTTAAAGTCAAAGAATTAGGATTTCATAAATTTTTAATAAATCTGTAAAAACACAGACATCTCAAGGTGTTTAAGACCTTAACTCGTGCCCTTACTCCTTTTATGACATGAGGATCCTAATCAAGAAATTCCTTGGGGGGGGTCTTTCCTTTCCCCCAGTATGTGATGATGCTGGCTGGGTCACTGAATTCTGGAACTTTCTGTTGCAGGTGAGAGGGTACAAACGTTTCCTCCCCCTGTTTCCTCATGAAGTCCGGGACCTGCAGCCTGTTCTGGACATGCTCGCGGAGCAGAACCCGAGGGATTCTGAGGTGAGGACTTGTTGTGCCTTTTGTTTCACTTTTATGGCTCCAGGTGAGCAGTGTAAGAAAAAAACCTGGAAAAAAGTGTATAAAGCAGTGATGGACCCTGTCAGGTGTTAACTGAGCACCTGGATTTAGTGTGAAACCATCATCTTGTCAGAGGAGAAATGCCTTCCTGAAGGGGAGGTCTTGGCTTTCTTCCATGGGGTTTGTTCCAAGGATTCAGAAGCAGTGGAGGTTGGGTAAAACCTCTCACCACTCATAGGAGGGAACAGAGTGATGGAAACAACAGTAATGAGAAGGGCAGTGAGTGATGTTGAAGCTCCAAAAGGAGTAGCTGAAAAATCCTCTTCCTGCTGTGCACATCATTAACAGTGCTGGTAATTTAGCTTGAAGTCATCACAGTAAAATCACAGGAAACAGAGGTTTTAAGTTTTCTGTGTTTTTTCCTATTTCTTGATGTAAGTAGGGTGGTTTGTAAACCTTTGTGTTTTGTCAAAGTTGGTAGAACTTCTGTGTTGGTAAGGAAACAAAGATTAATTTTGTTTGATGTCATAAAACATTCGTCCTCAGCCCCTCAATCTGTGTCTTCAGATCTGTGGGGGGGTTGGTTTGGGGTTTTTTTTCCCTTTTCTTTTGAAAGGAGGAAGGTGAAGATTGGAAAAAATTTCACAATTGTAGCACAAGGCCTGGATCTGCCTTTTTACAATATATTCCTGAGTGTAGAAAAATAACACAGAATTTCACATCTTTTCTCTCTACCTGTTTGTAGTTTGAAAAACAAAGTGACACCACTTCATTATGTGTTCTGATTTGAAAGTTTTATTTGGCTGGGAATGTTCTGGGCAAGAATCCTGATTCTAAAAAATACTTAAGGAAAGAATTTTTAATGGATTTCGTGGATTGAGATCATAGAATATCTTGAATTGGAAGTGACTCATAAGGATCATCAACTCTGATTCCAAGATGCTGTATTTCATATTCTTACATTTTTGAATAAGGAAAAATCAGAATTCCAGAGGGCTTATTAAGATGGATGAATTTTAAAATAGATCATCATCTGTTATAAGTAACAAAAATCATGGATTTGAAGACAATAATTGCATTGCTGCTCTAAACTAAAGTATTTTTTTAATAAACACCATCAGTTCTGACACTTTGCTGCTGTAGTTGTACAGCTTTAAAGCTTGGAAAAAGTTCCTTCTTGTCTGTCTGTCTCTCAGAGCTCATCTGAAGTTGTTTCAGTAAACCCATGACAGCAATAAATAAGAAATTAGGAATAAAAACATATTTCTGTTATATTTGTGACCAGAGGCACAGACAGGCTGAAGGAAAGAGGAACAGGAAAATGGAAACGTGCAGTTTTCCATGGAGAAGGAAACAAACCTTCCTAGATTTCAGGTTTGGGGAGGGGGGGTCCATTAATTTTGTTACAGTTCTACTGTTTGGGATCACTTGTAGTTCTCTCTCCTTTGGAGTTTCAGGACACTCATGTTTGGAGTTTTCTCTTCATCACCTTTGCAAGTTCCTCGAAAACAGTGGGTAGTTTGTGCTCCCGAGACTTGCTTGGAATACGTTGCAGAAAATGGAGTAATTTCTTTGTTTTACCATTCCTTTCCAGACCTGGGAGACTCGTTACATGCTCCTACTGTGGCTGTCCATGATCTGCCTGATTCCTTTTGATCTGGCCCGTTTTGATGGAAACCTTGTTTCAGAGGGAGGGAAGGCTCGGCAGCCGACCATGGATCGCATCCTGGAAATAGCTAAAGTAAGGAAAATGCCTCTTGTAATACTTTCAAACCTGTGATACTGGGCTTAACATTTTGATATTTAATAAATAATATTCTGAAAATGATATTACTTAAGAATATTTAGAATATATGTCCATGGTTTTGTGTCTAATCTGTAAAGAATTTCTCGGTACGTTTGGAATCTTCAGTCTGTTGTTTGCTGCTTTAGTGACAGGTGAGATTGTTACTTGTTTTCTCTGATGTAATTAACTTACTTATGTGAATGCCTGCCTTTGAGTATGTTAGTGGCTTTCAGTGTTTGAAAATGCCAGTGAGCTTTTGCTGAGAGGCAAAATTGAGGATTTTTAGAGGAAATTGGTGTTTGATCAGAATGATTGATTAACTTTGGAAGCTGTGACTGCCTGAAGGTTTTTCAGCAAAGTTTCACTGGGTGGTGACCTGTCATCCCTTTGAGATAAAAATAGACAAGTCCCCCTCCCACAGGTACCTCAACAGTTCACACTGCTGGCACTTGCAGGCTTTTGCTTGTAGGCCAATGTGCCTGTGAGTTAAGGCTTCAGTAAAGGTAATAAACCTCCTTTAAAAGGCACCAGAAGGGGAGACTCTGCCTCAGATACAGTTTGTTAAATGAGAAAATTAATTTTTTTACTACCTTAAGCTCAGTTTGTAATCACAGTAATGACATAATGAGTGTAATCATCATACTACTTGTGATCATAAGTATCCAGTAGTGTATTGTGTACACTATTATTGGTGTTAAATCTCCAGGTGTGAATTCTTTGACAGTCAGTTTTCTTCTCCCTTTAGTGTTACCTGGTTGTCAGTGACAAGGCTCGGGATGCAGCTGCTGTGCTGGTGTCCAAGTAAGTCCCTTTTGTGCTCCTTGGCAGAAAGGAAAAGCCTGGCTCCCATTTCTCCTGCTGTTCCTTAGCCTGCTGTGACAGGGTTGGGAGGGCTGGAAGTTGCCAGCTGTCTGTGGGATGTTACTGTTGCTTGAATTGGATCCAACAAGTGTGTTTGTTGTTGGGAATTGATTTCCTCTGCTTGATAGAGGAACATGTTTCTGTCACACCTGATGCAGATCTTCCCTGTCAACAGGATACTGGAGAAATTGCCCTCAGGGGCTGGTTTGTGCTACAGGGTTTCAGGGATCCTTAGTGTTGCTGCTGATTTTTGCAGGTTTTGCACTATAAATAGGGAATTGGTTTCTGGTATTACTGATAGTGTTTAAATTATGTAAAGGGAAATAGTAATGCTAGAATTAATTTTCTTAATTATCTCTCATTCAGAAAGCAATACTTCTTCTGTTTTCTTAGCTTTTTCTGTTGTCAAATAACTCATCAAAAAGAAGAGGTGTGGGATAATGAACTGTGTGATCCCACTGTTTTACAGGGTTGGTGTTCAGGCTTGGGGACAATCTGTGACAGGGGTGTGGTTGTTCTGACATTTGCTGCATCACTCCAGTAATACTGAATAAAAGAATTCTTTAAACCACCAGGGTGGTTTATAAATTTGAATAATGAGCTCATGTACCTCCCCTCTCCTGCTGCATCCTTGGAGACAGTGTGGGTTGTGATGCACATGGAAATAAATGACAGAGACCGTGAACTGGGATAGCACACGTGTATCCCTTGTCTCGGTGTCTATCCCGGCCCCCATTCCCGCATATTCAGCTCAGGTTGTGATGGATTTGGATTTCCTTCCCTTTTCCGTGTCTCCAAAGCAGTAAAAGCCCCGGCCCTGCAGTGCAGCCCGTGTGCGCCAGGGGGAGCTGCTCGCACGGCTTTGCCGGTGCCCTTTGGAGACAGGGGGACAGGGGAACAGGGGGACAGGGGGACGTGGAACATGGAGACGGGGATAGGGGGGACATGGAACGTGGGGACAGGGGGACATGGAACATGGGGACAGGGGGACATGGAACATGGGGACACGGGACAGGGAGACACGGGACAGGGGGACAGGGAACATGGGGACAGGGGGACACGGGACAGAGGGACATGGGACAGGCACGTGGACAGGGGAATGTGGGGGACATGGAACATGGAGACAGGGGGACAGGGGGGACATGGAACATGGAGACAGGGGGACACGGGACAGGGGGACATGGAACATGGAGACGGGGATAGGGGGGACATGGAACATGGGGACAGAGGGACAGGGGAACAGGGGGACATGGAACATGGGGACAGGGGGACACGGGACAGGGGGACAGGAGGGACATGGGGACAGGGACATGGAACAGGGGGACAGGGACATGGGACATGAGGACATGGGATGTGGGGATGGGGGGACACGGGACAGGGGGACATGGGGGACACGGGATGTGGGGATGTGAGGATGGGGACATGGGACAGGGGGGACACAAGACGTAGGGACAGGAAGACACGGGACAGGCACGTGGACAGGGGGATGTGGGGGACATGGAATGTGGGGAGAGGGGGGACACGGGATGGGGTCGTGGGGACAGGGGGCATGGGGAACACGGGACATGGGGATGTGGGGATAGGGGGAAACAGGACGTGGGGATGTGAGGATGGGGACATGGGACAGGGGGACACGGGACCTGGGGACAGAGGATGTGGGGACAGCAGGACACAGGAAAGGGGGACATGGGATGTGGGGACAGCAGGACATGGGAGTCAGGGACACGTGGATGTGGGGGACACAGGGACAGTGGGACCTGAGAACACTGGGGCACGGGACATGGGGACGTGGGGACAATAGGAGAGGGAGACAGGTGGATATGGGGACACAGGCACAGTGGGATGTGGGGACAGTGGGACACGAGGACAGTGGGGACTTGGGGACAGCAGGACATGAGGTTGTGACAGGGGACAGTGGGTCTGGGAAGAGAGTCACAACCATAAACCCTGTTCATGCTCTTCTCTGGATTAAGAGCCACAAAATTTATGGGATTCATTGTATCAAAGCAGTTGTTAAATACAACATTTAGCAGAGCAGACCCTGACTGTCTCTTTAGGCAGTAACTGTCTGTGTACTTATTTTAAATTTATTCTGAGCTTCAGTCACAGGACTCAAAACTTTAGGAATTTATATTTAGTGAGTGTGATGCTTCTGGTCTGAATCTGATGGCAAATCAAGCACTGTTTTGTCTTAAGAACTGAGTGTCATGCAGAAAATCCATGAAGGACTAAAGACCAGAATCATAGTTCTCTGATGACTCATCCTTTGCTTTTCTGAATTACTCTGAAATATTTCAGAGCAGAATCCAAGTGACTTCATGAATTATTTGTCTAGTCTGGAGTAAATAATCTCTTGCCTGTTACATACTTATGTCCATGTAACAGAAAATGGGTTTGGCTCATTATCCTTCCCTGTGAGGGTGGGGAGGCCCTGGCACAGGTTGCCCAGAGAAGCTGTGGCTGCCCCTGGATCCCTGGAAGTGTCCAGGGCCAGGTTGGACAGGGCTTGGAGCAACCTGGGCTAGTGGAAGGTGTCCCTGCCCATGGCAGGGGGTTGTAAGTAGATGGTCTTTAAAGTCCCTTCTACCCAAACTATTCTATGATTCTAATTAGTTTTTGCAGTGATTTTGGAATGACTAATTAGAAGTTGCTTTTCTGGGATCTTTATGTATCTGTAAGGATAATCTGCCTTGTCACAGGTTGACAGAAGCAGAGGATTTGAGGTGACAGTGTGACACAGAATGAATTCTTCTTGAGCATTCATATGAGCCCTCTTCACTTGCTAAAATTCCAGAAAGCACCCAAATTAACCAACACTAATAAACTCTTGAAGCTACACCCAGTGTTTGGGAGCCTTGTCAAGTAAGGGTGACAGTAATTAAAAAAGATTCTTTTATCACATTATACTTAATCAAATTTGCACTTCAGAGTGTCTGTAAAACTAAATTTTGAGGGGGAGGTTGTATACAATAACCTGATTGATTGCAGCCTTGTGTTCAGCAGAACTTTGTGTTTGTGCTCAGCCCTGAGTTTTGGGGGGATTTTACCAGTGCCCTGCACCCCACACTGTGTCCTGTGCAGGCACCTTGTCTGCAGTTGTCTCATATTCACCTTCGTTTATTGGCTGAATTAATTGTTGTTAGGAGTAAATGATCACAACAAATAAAGTGATAGAACACATTAGGCTGGTTCCAGTACCACATGTGTAAGGCTGTAATGGCACTGCTTAGTGGACTTATAATTATTTAGTTTATTATGAAAACACCATTTTCAAAATAGCCTGATGATTAAAATGCTCCACCAGGAATTAGAAGACTGGCTCCAGGAAGGCCTTTCCCTGCTTTCACATCCCCAAACAGCTTTTTAATGAGATGAGGTCACTGTGCCATCTTCCTGGAGCTGGACTGTTAGTTGGGTGGGCAGGAACACAACGGTCCTGGGACAGATGGAGAGATAAGATACAGGAGTCTGGCTCTGTAGCATTTGAGAGGGAAAGTCCCTGGGGAGCAGGAAGAAGTCTGGGTTCTTACTGGTGCTCCAAGGAGTTATGAATTCCAAGTGAAGTTTAGGAACATCAGGATTCAAGGCTTCCTGTTTTCCAGAGTAAGTTGCTTTTCATAGGGTGAAGAAGCTGGAGCTTGTTTCATGAATTCTCCTTTCTGCCTGCTCAGTGAGGGTTTGCAGTAGGAGGAGATGAGGCTGATCCTTATCCTGCTGTTAGTCTGGAGGTTAGGGCACTCCTTTGGGAAAGAAAGATTTAAACTCCTTCGGGCTGGGAAAGGGTCTAGGAACCAGCTCATCCACTTCACAGGTCACTTCTCTCACCTGTGCCCTTGGGCCAAAGGCAGCTTCATCCTTGGTGTTCTGTCACAAAACAACCCTCCTGCAATTCACCCTCCCCAAATCCTCGTTCTCCTGCTTAACAGAACAGGGACTGGCTTGGAAGCCAGTCCATCCCCTCTGCTCACTGTTCCCATGTTCTCTGTCTCTTGGTGCAACTCCCCAGTTTCTGGGGGTGTGGGAAGGAACCAGGTCCCAACTCTGTGCACATCCTCTTGAACTGCCCTGAGCTGTGCTGGGTGGGCTTCCCTGTGTGCCTTGTTTCCTTTGGGTGCATTGACAGCAAATTTAGTCTGACTCCCTGCTGGAGCAGGATCCTGGTTTGTAGGGGCCAAGACGCTCACTGAGAGAACTGAAGCTGATGCTTGGCTGGTGCAGGGGATGGCTGAGTGTAGGTTTACAGAAGTTTAGCCATGATCAACCTCTTTTTTTCCCCATCTCTTGACCCATCTAGTGTTAAATAGCAGGTGTTTGACCTTTTCAGATATGTGAAACCCCAAATTTAGCCCCATTGGTTACTCATTCTAGGCCTGGCTGATGACAGAAGGTGCAACAGGGTCCCATTGCTGATTTGCACTGATTTTCAGATTTGCAGAATGGCTGTTCTTGGTGAGAATGGTGGAGAATCCTCATATTTGTTTCAACTTTTTAACAATTCTAATGGAGATAACTTTTATCTGGGACCTTTGGAAATTTTGTTGCTTTACAATAAATCTTTAGGATTCAAGTTTTAGGTGGGTTTGATGTGAAAGCAAAATTCTGGGCCTTGCTCAGAAACAGAATGGCTAAATGTGGGATGTTTTGGAGTGTTCCCACCCTCAGCAATTTGGGAAAATATCCACTGGATAATTGTTTTCAGGAGCTACAACCACTTTGGATATCAGGAAAAATGGTTTTTATTGAGTGTCATAAAGTCAGTAACTGCAGTGTTTTCTTTTTTTCTGTGACAGGTTTATTGTTCGCCCTGATGTCAGGCAAAGCAGGATGGCAGAATTCCTGGACTGGGTGCTCTCCATGTTATCCAAATCCTCCTCCCAGACCATGGAGGGGACTGTCATCGTGAATGGCATGCTCCAGGCCCTGGTAAATATTTCCTTGAAAAGACAGATGATTGGTTTTATGGTCAAAGGATACTGTTATGGTAGTTCTTTGATGGCAAATGCACAGAGAGGTTCCTGGTTATTAAAATAGCAGAAATCAATATACAACTGGAATCTCCTCCTCAAAAGTTTGGACAGTGTAAGTTCTCAGGTATGTATATTTTCTTTAAGTTGTCTTGTCATCACCAAATGAGAGTGAAGTTGCCAATAATGAGAAATAACTGTCAAAATAGCGATTTTTTTTTTTCTCTCTGAACAAAACTTTTGAAATAAATTAAAAACTGGGAACTGTACAGAATGAAGAGGTTGGAGTTCTGCTATAGCAGTGATCTCTCCTGGACTTTTCAGAGCTGGTAACCAGAATGCAAGGGGTGCTTAAAAGTTGTATTCCTTCGTTCTGCAACTAACATACTGTTCTCAGTAGTTTCAAAAAACCATACTAAATGTGTTGGTGTCCTGCTAATCTGAGTGAGTTTTTTGTTTAATGCCCTTTCCTTGTGAAGTAATAGTGGTGTATGATTCAAAAGAGCTTAATTCTCAGTTTGGGTTTTAAACTGTACCTGCCACGCACGGGGGAAAAATCTGCAATACCTGAAGCACTGCTCTGTGGCAGCACTCCTCTTGTACATCCTGAAAAGGTCTTTTATAAAGCTTTATTGTCGTTTTAGAAGTATTTTAGAAGTATTGGTGTGCTCTTTGAAATACTGGGATAACAGTTTTGGTGTCTGTGGCAGCTCTGATGTCCAAATATATTTGGGTGGAATGGGGGAGTTTGTTGTACCTTCTTGCTTTGGTTGCTGACCAAAACCGAGGCAGATTCCTGTGTGCAGCCTTTGCACTTGCACAGGTTTAAGGATTTGCTGGTGTTTGGACAAAGTTTTAATAATTTGCATAAATTTGCTACCCTTTCAAACCAGTTGCTAAGAGGACTTGTGTGCAGTGTGGCACTGAACATCAAAGCAAAGCTCTGCAGTGAGGGTGTGGGGTGTGGGGTTTTTTGTGTTCTTTTTTTTTTCCCCCCCCTCCTCTCGAGCTCTTCCAAATAAGACGACAGGAGAAATGATCTATATTTAGAATAACTGAGGAGCTGCTGCTCCAGCAGGAGGAAGCGTTATTTGTGTGCATTGCAGCGTTTCAAAAGGCAGAATGATGTTTCATCATCTTATTGTCAGATCTGGAAAGGGAGCCGGCCTGTTTGCCATTCCCGGGGCGTGATGAGACCTGCAGGATGTATAATGCATTAGTGTTTTGTCGTAATTCCTTTGAGTTTGGCTTTGGCTCCATCCACCTGTTCATTAGTGCTCACTAAGCGAAACAGGTGAATACTCAACAAGTAGAATCGAAACCAGAATGTGATACAATAGACCTGGGAGCAGAGCCTGCTGCCTTGCTTTTGTGGGACTTCTTTTTTTTTTTTTTTCTTCCTCTTCACAGCTCATAATTCCTCTTCCAATTGGTAGATTTGAGCAGGTTTTTAAAGCCTCTTCTTGCATTCAGTCTTCAGTTTTTCATTTCAGTCACTAAAATGTAAGCATGAGTTACATCATTAGAGAATAAAGGTTCTCAGAATGGTATGTTTGTACTGAGTGTATTGAAAGTGTATTACATGTGTGGCTTAAGAGGAGCAGAAAATACTTATTTCAAGAGTTAAATATTCTAAATATATTTATATAATATATATAAAAATTATATATATATTTATATATATAATATATATTATATATAATATATATTATATCTTATATATATTTATATATTATATATATTTATATATTCCTAATTTACGTAAATATACATATTCTTCATATTTTAATATTAAGAATTTCGTATCACACTTGTAGCAACAACATGTTGTTAAACCAAAATATATCAGCTGAAAATAAGTGTTTAAAGTAAACCTTTTCTCTTAAACATGCAAGATTCTAACTATATAATGTATGTTATTGTTATTTATATATATTTCATATATATATAGTTTGTATATATTATTATTGTGTAAATATACACATTCTATAAATGAATGCATTATATGGTATTTACATTATATAATACATATTATATTTATTTTATAAATAAACACATTTATTCTATAGATAAGCACATATTTATTCTATAAATAAGCACATATTTATTCTATAAATAAACACAGTATACTTTAGCATAACAAGTGATCACTAAGTGTGTAAAGTTGAACACATCCTCATGAGGGACAGCTAAAACTTGTGTCAATAAGCTTCAAAATTCTTTGCCCTTGGATTCTTCCAGGAATTTTTTACTTTACAAGTCAAACTGCACCTGCCTGGGCATTTCTCTGTGAACAAGCAGGAGAAAAAAAAAGACCCTTTTCCAGTTTCTGGTCAGTACAGCGAGGTGGGTTTCGGGAATGTGACAGGTTTCGGGACTGATGTAACCCAGCGGAGTGGGGATAAAAAGTCGTCCCCTCAGAGCAGAAGGGGGCTGCCCCAAACTGGGGGGGTCTGGTCAGGTTTTGCTGTCGTGCTGCTCACGGTCTGCGCTCAGCCAACGCCTCGGAGCGAGCTCGGCACGGAAAAACCGCTCGGAAAAGACACGAAACTCCTGCATTTCAATGAACTGAAACTGCAAGTCAGGGACGCAGGGAGTCGTTGGCCGTGGCTGCACTTTGATCTGCCTCCTCGTGGCCCTGAGCCCGCTGATCAGGTGTGTGCTGTTTCATCTCACTCAGCGTTCTGTGCAGAACGAGTCCGGCTGTTCCGCGGCTCCTGTCGGAACACGCACCCGGCATTGCACGTTGTAATTCCACTGGGGCCTCCTTTTTTTATTTTTTTCCCTTCCACCTGTCGTCAGTACCAGGCCATTTCCCAACAGGGGGGCACCAGCAGAGTGACACTGTTTCAGATTCAGCGTTTCAAACTCTTGTTGTTGCAACTAACCTCGCAATTCGGAATTAAATCCCAGATTCTTCGTGCGTTTAATAATCCCAGATTATTAAAAAATTGCTACTTTTTTTTTTTTTTATAACATTTGTTTACTCGAAGGAAACTTCTCTCCTGTTTCAAGAATCTGCATTTTAAATTCTCTTGGTCTGGAGGTTTGCTTTTAAACCTGCCATTATATCAAACAGCTTTTTAGTTATCGCTGCAGGGCGCAGCACTCCCAGTTCTTGCGTGACAGAGATGTCATCACGTTGAGGTAGCCTTGGGCATTGAAACTTATTAAACCTTATTTGTTTTATAAGTGATTCAGTATACAAGTGTGAGTAATAATTAAAAAAAATAAAACGCCCTGCACAGTGATCTGATGAAACTCGAGTCTTAAGAACGAGGCATTTCCCTGAGCTGTCTCTAATGCAAAGGTTATTTAGCAATAGCTACATGCTTATGTAAATTTGGCTCCAGGGAAGAAAGAACTCTCTAACTCCATTCTTTCAGACCCAGAGGCACAAAAATAGAATATTTCCAAATAGAATGTTTCCCAAGTCTCTGTATTTTTGGCATTCCCAAAGAATTGGCCGTGTTAGGATTGTCTGTTGGCATTACTTTTTTTAAAATGGGGTTGTTGCTTAGTGGTTTGGTGATAAAGGTGTAGAAAAAGCATTGTTGGTGAGGGAAACCAAAGTTCTTATGTCTGCAGGTACCAAGGGCACCGACTCCTTCCTGATAATGCCATTTCTGTCCTGAGTGTCACAGAGTCTTTGTTCTAATGTGGCCTTGTCTGACACTGCTCAGGTTTTTCCTTCTCAACAGGAGTTTTGTGGTTTGTTCAAGGTTCTGTTGTCATAAAGCTGTTTCTTTTTCCTGTCAGAATTTGGTACTGTCTCAAGCTGTTAAATTTTATTTCCCTTCCAAGTATTTAAAATCTGTGGGTTTGGGTCATCATAAGAGGGAAAGGAGATACTCTGTCAGCTGTCCATGTGTTGGTCTAAACTTTTCAGACATTCAGCTGATAAATAAGTGAGGTCACATGGAAGGTGCCATCCTTTGGATCCCTGGGCTGTGTTGGTGTCTGACTTGGATGTGTTGTAGTGATGCTCAACACCCAAACACGTGTGTCCCACAGCAGGAGTGCTGCTTGTGCTGGAGACAGAGTGAGAACAAGGGCTTTAACTAACCCATTTAACCATTAGCTGCACATGGAAGTAGGGAATATTTAATGCATTCTAAGTGAACTGAGGTTCTGACAGCATGTCCTCTCTCCTTGCACCCAGCCAGGAGGCAGGGATGGCTGATGGCATTCCCTGGGCGTTGTGTGGCTACCAGGGGGTGCTCCAGAGCAGTGCAAGGCATCATTTCCTGCTCTTCCCAGCGAGGCTGGAATTATCCTCCCAGTCCTCCACTTGGTTACAACCAGAGGGGAGATCCAGACTTGTGCCTCCTGCTCGGCAGGAAGATCCACTCACTCCCCAGCAGCCAGGCCACCCCTCGTGGTGATTTGTGTAGCTTGGGGAACAAGTCCTGGAGATGATCCCGACTGATAGACCTCCTGCAGGTCGGGCCCAAAGTGGGTTAGGCAGACAATTGGCAGGTGTGGTGTCTCTGCCGGGATTACTGAGAAACTGGGCTGTGTTTGCCTTGCCCGGCGCTGTTTCTAAAGCAGAGCCAGACCTGACAGTCGTCATTGCTTGCACACCACTGATTTTCTCTAATTTGTAGGTGGCTTAATTATTTATAAGAGAGGGAGTCACATACTTCTCCACAGTTGAGCAGGTTGGGTGAGCTGTGTGCTTTGTGTCCTCATTAGGTGAGGAGCCCGTGGCGTAACTCCGGCTGCTGGGATGCTCCGACAGGCAGGCTCCTGGCTTTCAGCACTGGCAGCTGCTGACACCAGAGTGCCTGTGCAGGTGGCAAACCAAGCTTATTAATTGCTTTGTTTGTATCAGATTTTTGGAAATGGTGTGCCTTGGATATTTTTCTTCCTTCAAGGCAGGAAGTTTAAGCTGGATACTGCAATGCTGATTCGGCCTTTTTCCTATATTTTTCCTATATTTCCTGTATTTTTTTTTAATGTTTTCCATTCATGCATCATGAGCTTCTCCTGTTAGTACAACCCCTGTAAGCTCCAGGCTTGCAGGATTTTTCTGAGGCAGTAACTGTGCTGTACATGCGTGACTGTAGCATGTGCTGGAAGAAAATACACACATTTTTGCTTTCTCTTTTCCCAGAGTGCTCTCTCATTTCCTCTGGAAAATCTATCTGCTACACTCAAAAGTTTGAGAAATTTGGACTTTTGCATGCTTTGACTCATAAAGAAATAACGATATCTTCTTTTCTTGTCTTTTCTGCACTCAGAAAAAAAACAAACCCAGGCACTGGATTTCCTGCTGTGTTGAATATCTGAAGAGTAGTTCCCCACAGTTGGGCTGTTACATATTTAGTTCTGTAAAAATTGTTTTAAAAATGGCTCTTAAACTTCTCTGACACAGAGAAATACCCAACGTTTCACTGGCAGAAACACCAATAACCTGCTCCAAGGCTTCATTTGACCCACAGAGCACCTCCATGGGTGCAAACAGAACCTTCTTCCCTGTCAGACATTTTACATTTTCAGCTTTGTTTATTCCAAAACCAGTGGGTATATGTATTTTATTGATCAACAACCAGGTTAATATTAAGTCCCATTTTTTAAAACTTTAGTTTTTAATTCAAGCACAGCAGCTACGGTGTCCTTTGGGTAATTTTTACTTCCCCTAAAAATATGTATTGATAGACTAAAGTCCCTTAATCCACATCTCAGTTGATTGCTATGATGATTTTAACATCTGGAAGGATATTACAAATCGTTGTAGTTTTGTTTGGGAGTAGGTGTTCTGTGTTGAAAATAGTTTGAAATTTAAGTTTTAATGAAACTGCTGTGGGGAAACAATGTGTGTTCTGGCTGTTTTGTTCAGAAAATAATAGAAATGGCTGTGATATGGAATCTGCCCAGGTCACTGTGCTAAATTCAGTCATAGGTGTGTGAGGCTGTTTTCTTACTTTTTTTTATTAAAGCATTTAAAAGAATTCCTGCGCAGTATTTGAAGAGTTTTCTCATTTCCTGCTCTTGTGTTGGTTGATTCCTTCCCACATCTCGCTCAGAGGTGGCACCTTCAGTTCTGTTTTTCCTGGAGAGTCAGTCCTGTGAAAACTCATGGGGAAGTTTGTAGGAAGGTACCAGAATTTAGGAACTGTGGAAGACTGAAAACGTGTTGGTGCCTTGGGGATCTGTCCCACCTTTGCAGGGTGCCTTGGCCGGGTGCTGAGCACAGTGGGAGCAGACATCCAAAGGCCTTTGTGCAGGAGCATTCCCAAGGATCTGTTAAAAAGCTGTTTCTTTGCATTGTCACTGCTTGAGGAATTACACTGTGCTTTGTTTGAAAATACTTGAATATAATACCAAACATTTGGAGGCAGCCTGTGTGTACCTTAAAAACTGTATTTCCTGTTCGTTGGGCTGTTGGCCAGCGAGGAGAAGGAATTGTGAGAATGCAGGGATGCTGCTGTGTCTCCAGCATTCCTGGCAGAGCATGTGGAGAAAACAATGATGGGTTTTAAAGCAGAACATGGGAACAAAGTGATGAAGAAATGAGCTTCTACATGTTTCAACAAGGAGGCAGAGAAATTTCAGAGACGCTCTAGATTTGTTGTACCAAAGGTTTGGAGGTTCTCTGGCAGCTTTTCTTTAGGCTTTTTAGCACAAAGCAGAGTTTTGTTGTATGCCAGTGAGAAATATTTGTGTTTTCTTTAACACTGACATGGTATATTGCTAAAAGCTGTGCCACATTTATACATTTCTGTTGGTATTTATTGGCTGTTCTTCTGGGCCTGAAGTCCTGCTGTAGCGTTGCTGCTTTGTAAATGTCATTTTTAAGGGATTCCCTCACCGTTGCCTGCATTAAAATCTTAAATACTTCCATATATAATACCAAATTCCCATATATAGCTTGTAGTGGAGCTGATCAGCAGTGCTAATTTGGGATCCTGAAGTGCAATTTGGTACCAAACCAAACCAGGACAGGCACACAGCCCCGAGGTGTTTTTCTTGCCCTGGTTGCTCCCAGCCCCGCCTGCAGCGCGGGAGGTGTGTGTGTGTGTTTGGTATGTGTGAGAAACTACGGACTTTTAGGGGAAGTCTGTTCTTGTTTAACTCCCAGGCATATTTACTGAGGAAGATTTTCCTTCTGGTGAACGCCAGAGCAAGGGCAAACAAGTGCCTGAGCACAGGAGTTTTGATGCGCGTTGGGAGAGCAGAGGAAGCGTTTAATGTGTCCTTTAATGTGTAAGGTGTTCTCTCGGGTGTTTGCAGTCCCTTTGTCTCACTGGGGCTTAATCTAACCAGGGTATTTAATTGTAGAGAAGATGGTTTTGGAAACTTGGTGCTCTTTGCTGCACAAATCCCTCAGCACAGGAGTTAAGTTGGACTGTTGGAGGTGTACTTGGAGAGGTTTGCCCTCCCAGGTGTCCTTAGGTGGTTTAGGCTCTCACAAGCTGTGACTCCTGTCACAGGGACCTGAGTTGGCCCCAAACTGGTTACTTTTATTTTTCTCTTTTATTTTTCTCTCTCTCTTTTTTTTTATTTCCTTGTTATTTTTAATTCTCTCTTGAGTGTTTTTTGGCCAGCTCAGCCCCCTCAGCATTTACCAAGAAGTGTAACAGCACCCTGAGACTCTTTTCCTTTTATGCAATTTAAATCAGCAAACACCACAGATTATTGCAAGGACAATAAAAAGTATTTTAAAACTAAATACTTGGTAAATCATGTTTTAGAATCTCTGTATTCTCATGTCTGTTTTCCCTATTTCACTTGCAGGCACAGCTGTTTAAACATGGCAAGAGAGAAGATTGTTTGCCATATGGTAAGTTTGTAATATCTTGATTTCAGTTTTTAAAGCCATTGCAATCAAAAAGGGAAAGGAAGATTAACCTGGTCACAAGTGGTGCTGTAAGGAGTGAAATCAACAGGGAAGTGATAAAGCAGGGAAAACAAGGGGAGCAAAAGTAGAGATGACTGTGAGGGAGGAGCAGATGCCACCAGGGAATGTTGTGTTGGAACAGCATATCTGAGGATTTGGCAGGTGATCACATTGGCCATTGCTGTAATACAGAAGCTGAACATGGAACATACAAACTATAAGATATGGAAAATATTTTTAAAAGTTCATTAGAGCATTAACTAGTTTTGTAAATATTACTGCTGAAAATTTTGCAGACTCTTCAAGTTTAAACTTAAGCACAGGGTTTCAGAAAACCCAAGAACTGGTTGTGTACAGGACCCAACTGGAATTATGTCAGGATACTGTTGGAATAAAAAAAAAGGCTTTGGTGAAAAGAGATTGTACTGGATGTAATGAGGGATAGACGGGTACCATAAAGAGAGCACAGAGGGTTCTGAACAGTGTAGCTGCTGGTTGGATTTATGTTCATCTTGTGGTGAATCCTGGAGTATGGTCAGAACTGACTGTAATGATCTTGGGTTTTATTGATAGCAGCAAAGAGAGGCAGGGAAAGATGGTGGCTAATTCCAAAACACTACAAAAGACCTCATCAGTTTTGTGTAGCTTATCCAAGTAGCAGAAAAGGGATTTGTGCTGTTCTCAGGAACCAAGCAGTGATGTAAACTCTCTTCAGAGTGCTTGATTTCACTAATGCAATTATTTTGGCCCCAAGAAGAAGATTTTTAAGTTTAGTGCTGGAAACAGTTTCATTTTTCCAGTTCCTAAGTCTGAGAGGCAGATAATTCCTTAGAAAATGCCTGAGAGATGGGTAAAGATGGAGATAAGATGGTGAAGTTTGAAATTGGTGAAGACAAATAACATGGAACCACACAGGTGCTGTACAGCTGGTCAGGAACAAACAGCAAATACTGGGAATGCCATCCCACAGAATTAGCAGACAGCACTGGAGAAGCTGTCAGAGAAGCAGAATAATGAACAGACTGGATAAAATATGATATGACACAAAATTACATAATTTGAAATATGCAACTGTACAACACAATAGTCTTAACGGGTATGGAAAGAGCATATTGAGCCCACAAAATGAACCCTGATGGTAAAAGCAGATTCTTTGGCCCATGGCACAGAAAGAATATTGAGTAGTTATGAGTCTGGTAATAAGGGAAAAATCAGGGGTGTACCAGTGACTAAATTTACCTTAGAAAATCTGAATTCTCACAACTGAGAAGCAGATATTCGGGTGGAAACCGTTCAGGATAAAAAAATGTGAGAGACAAAAAATGCCTCAGATTTTTAGTTATAACAAATCTGAGGATGAAATAGGAGAAAAGAAATAGGCAAATGTCAAAGAAAGGTCCTGTTTGAAGTAATTTGTGACATAGAACTTGGTTTAAAAACAAACACTAGTCCTGAAGCCATTACGTGGATCTGTAGATATTACAGTGATTTGAGAGCTGAGAGGACTTGGAAGAGGCTTATATTTGTATATTCTTAATTTTTTTCTCTCTGTGAATATTGATGTTTCTGCAGCCTCTTCCTCCTAAACCATCAGTCTCTCAAGCTTTTATAACTGCAAAAAATCCAGGTTGCTGGAAGGTGTCCAAGCAATGGTCATCATCACTGGCTTCACCTTGTTGTCTGCATGGATCATTTAATAGTATTTTAGTAGGTCAGGATCCATCCCCTGCCTTTTCAAAGACTGAGGAGGTTTGTAAGTCGTGTCCTACAGCTTCTCAGACTTTGAAATAATTGGATTTTCTTTGATCTCTGTATTTTGAAAACCCTGATACTGGAGGAAGAGGTTGCAGAGCATTCTGCCAGGGTGATTCCTTGTGTGCAGTGTTGTTTGGAAGAATGATGGTCCTTCAGAGCCCAGGTCATTAGTCTCTATTAGCTCATGGTCAGCCTTCAATCAAGAATTATTTTCAACCTGATAAAATTACAAAAGGTCTTTTTTATTTGTAATAGGCATGGGTTCCCTTTGAAAATTTGGAAACCTGGAGCCTTATACTCATTAGCCCAAGATTTTCCTTTCCCTGTGTTTTTTTTACTTCGCTGGACAAATAACTTTGTTCCCTTTGATGTGCCCAGATGAGAGGTTTTGTGGCTGACTGTTTACACATACACAGTGTTTCTCATGTCTAAATGTTTATGGACATCCATCCTCATAAAAATCTCTGTGCCAGAGGAGTTAAGTTGGTGCTGCCTGAAAATACTGAACAAGGAAAGGGTGTGCAGGAACTGATGAGTTTTCTGAGTAAATGAATATTTTCTGAATCTTGGTTCTGTTAGATTACTGAAAATTCTCAGGCCCTGCAATACACTTGAACATTTTGCTTCCAGTGAGAATTAGAGGCATAAGCACTCTGAGAATGCAGATGATCATTTTCATAGTCAAAATGAATCCTCAAAGCCATCCTTCCTGCTTGGGCAGTGAAGGGTATTGCCACCATTTGACCAGTGTCAGAGCTACTACAAAGTAGGTAATAAGGCATTTGCATTTCAGTAGCACCTTTTGAAAATTTGAATCTTCTAAGGGACATTCAAAACTGTTAAGATTTTCATAGCAAGAGTTTTTTGAAAAGCAGTTTGTTTTGTTTTCCAGCTGTTACCGTGCTCGAGTGTCTGGACAAGTGCAAGTTGTCAGAGAGCAACCAGATGGTCCTGCGCAAGCTGGGCATGAAACTGGTTCAGAGACTGGGGCTGACATTTGTGAAGCCAAAGGTGGCAAAATGGAGGTCAGTTTAAAGCTGGAATAGTTAGAAGAAAATAAATTCCAAAAGGATAAAAAACTTAGAAATACCTAAATCTGTATATTTGTCTTCTGCTCTCTTAAACTTCCCTAAAAGAAAAAGAAGTCCCTGTGTTATTTGGGAACGAACATATTGTTCATTTGTACTATTTGGAAAAAGTAGATTTCTTCTGCTGTAGTTTTCTGTAATTTTTTTCAATTTTGGAACATGAACTGGGGCTGGGATTAGCCAAATCTGGCTTTGCACATTGCACAGGCAGAAGCCTGTTCCCATATAACGCACAACTCATGAAATATGGGAAGACTCCGACCTTTGTTCCTGATTTAGTACAATTTTGTAAGAGCGAACATAACTTTTTCCATTACCTGGTACTACCCTGATTCGATAGAAAGTTCACAGGGGAAAAGTGGTTTGCAATCCCACTCTGGTTTTGCATATTAGTCAGGTTTTGGTGTCTGGTTTTATGTACTGCCAGAGGGCAAACTCTTTTTGAGATTTCTCGCACTGATATTTTAAAATTGCAGGCTTCCTTGGTGACTATTTTTATTGTATTTATTTTACCAGCTTTTGAGAACATCCTTAGGCATAGAAAATTCTTTTTAGGTGGAGAATGTACCTTGCCCAATGGCAAAAGTCAGTTTAGCATGTGAAGTCTATCTTTTGTAAGAATGCATCTACACCAGGGGCTAAATATCCGAATACAACTCGGTCAGAAAGTACTAAGCTGGCTTTAACATTTAAAAAACAATTTTTAATAAGCTGATTTTATTAATTTTTATTTTTTTTTTAGGTTTCAGAGAGTCTTTCAGGGCATGGGAATTTTGCCTCTCTTTATTGTCAGCAGTGGAAAATAGGTTATACTGAAACAGGAAAGGGAGGGATAATGAAAAGGAACCATTTGAATAGTCTGGCTCTTCTCACCTTGGAAAACAGACAACTGGGTCAGGAGGAAGGAGAGTGGGATACTTCTCCCTTTCCTTTAAAGCAGCCACTAAATAAGTGGAGAGCTGTAGCCTGGGAGGTGTAGGAATGTGACAGACAGGCTTTGTGTCAGCATGTCCCTATTTCAGTTGGAAAATAAAGCAGAAAAATCAATGCAATGTGTGTTTGTTGTGCAGGTACCAGCGTGGCTGTCGCTCTCTGGCTGCCAACCTGCAAGCTCAGGGTGCTGTTGTGCAGAACCAAAAGAGAGAAACTGCTGCTGAAGCTGATGATGATGAGGAATATGACATCCCAGCAGAGATTGAAAACGTTGTAGGTGTGTTAAAACTGGAGAGAAATTGTTATAGTGCCACAAATTAAACATATGTTGGAAAACAACCCGCTTAGGGCTAAGAAAGTCACGTGGGTGTCTGTGCTAAACGTGAACAATTGGAAAGACTCTAAAATTTCAGTCTGTGCAACTGATTCAAATAGGTTATGTTTTGTCAGATTATTTGGTTTTCAGCATCTCCAGCAGAAAGTCAGTACTGGAGCACTTCTTGTGGGGTTAGGGCATGGAGATACTGAAATGTGTTTTACCAGTTTTATCCAGTAATGTGAAAGAGGTACCTTGAACCTTTCACAAATGGAAGGCTGAATTAAAATTTGTAATGAAATACACACCAAAAAATTATGTCACATGAAAGCTGAAGAGTTATGGTTTAATTTTTAGACCGTGGTAGTATGAAAGGAACAGCATTTTTAATAGTGTGCAGCTGTACAGCAGGTCCTCTGCTTGCTGGCTGGTGAATATTCTGTAAATAAATAGACCAGAATTGCATCAGAAGACTTTTATGACTGAATAATCTAATGAACCTCTGCAAAAAGCTCCATGACCTCCATTTTGAATCTTTTACCCGACTTAAAATTTCAAATCTGATTTTCTCTTTTTGAAAACAATTTAGACATGTTTCTTTGATTTTTGAGTTGTACATGGGTGACTAACGGAAGAAATCTAGATACAAAGGTTTTTATTAAAGAGGCAGGGTTTTTTTAAGAGGAAGATGAATTTTGAACATTTTAAGAAATCTTTCTGGTGTTCAATGAGACTAATTTGTTTTTTTTTAAATAAAATTATTTGCAGAGCAATTGTTGGTTGGGCTGAAGGACAAAGACACCATCGTCAGGTGGTCTGCAGCCAAAGGGTAGGTCTGTTGTGGTTACTCTGATCAACTGAAGTAAACAATATAGAAATACTAATTTTTTTTATGACTTACTAGCTGACTGCAGTTCTAATGAGTCACTGTATACTTCTCTTTCTTTTTCTTTTAACTTCTGTAGAATTGGTAGAATAACTGGAAGACTTCCAAAAGAATTAGCAGATGACGTGATCGGGTCTCTGTTGGACTGTTTCAGGTAAAAATCTTATTGCAGGCTTTCCATGCATCTGAAACATGGCTGCTTGTGGAACAGGGGGACAAGAGTTAGGGAGACAGGTCTAAAAATCTGTAAATTTTGTTACTACCCTTCTCCCAGATTTCAAAATCTTTGAAGGCACAGATGGGCTAAGGGTGTTCAATAAAGAAATTATTCCTAATCCTTCCTCTTGACCCCATTCGAAGGTAAGGTGGAAGGACTGAAATTGAACTTAGGAAGAATAAAAAAAATGCTCATTAACTTGGTGCTTTAGAAGTTCCTGTGTGTGCTCAAGGCTCATGTCTTGAGTGTAGTGTCCATCCTCAGAAATGCAGTGACACTGGAAATGATGTTCAGAAGGGTTTTGAGGATCACCAGAGGTAACAAGCCATCTTTGTGTGAGGGGAGGCTGAAACACATAGGGAGAATGTGGAATAAATGGGGTATAATATAGGTTTATGAACTGGGGAATGGTGTGGAAATGGTTGCCCTCTACATTTTATATTACTAGAAGCAAACTCAAGCATCAGGTGGCAGGTTTGGAATAAGGACAAGGCGTGGTTAGTGATGCAGCACAGAGTTCAAGTGTGAAAACTTCGTGCCACAGGACCTTGTGGATACTGAAAGTACTTACCTGAATAAAAAGTGTGCTTTTTGTCTGTGAACTTGCCCATGATCTGCCAGAGTTTGGAAGTGTTTTTGAGAGTGTTGCAATATGCTGGTTCTTACCCTCTTGCTAAGGCTTGTGCTCTGGCTGTGTCAGAGGGGCTTTGGGGCCAGTTTAATCTCCAGCTGGGTCACAAAGAACTATGAGGATGTTCTTTTGGAGCACTTCAGTGTTGGATGTCAGGGCATGTAAAGGACTAAGTTATTAAACAAGTCTCATGTGCTTTTTTTAAATATCAAATTGCTCATCGGGTCTCTGTTGAGTACCTGAAAATCTAAACTAGTGGTTTAGAGTAAGCCAGTAACAAAAAGAATTTCTTTATTGACAGGAAATACTGGTCATGTTCAGTTTGTCACTCAGATGTACTCAGTTTTAAGAAGTCCTCACACATTTGTTGAGAGTACAAATTAAAAATACCAGCTCAAAGGATGACACGTTAAAAAGAAAGAAGGTATAAAGTCTTAAAAACTTGCAAGGAAAGTATCCACTTAGATGATCCTTCCACTGTGGTACTGTGATTAATTTAAGAGGTGCTGCTGATCTCAATTATCCCTGGAGCTTCAAAGACCTGCACCCAGAGTGTTTTCTTTCCTTGTTTTTCAAGTCATAGGGGTGAGTAACTCAACTAGTAATTGAGTGACCTGCTTTCTTCAGAAACACCTGGGAACAAACGTAGGCAAGGACAGAGGGAATCTCTGCTGGGTTCTCTGACTAAATGTGTCCAAAATAAGAATAAATCAGTTGCTTGTCAGAGGCACTTGGCTATATCTCTTGGGATAAGAATAAAGGATTTCTTATTTGTAGGTAGGTAATATGTAGACAAGAGTCAGTGAAGAAATAAGGGATCATTTTTCACGGTGTAGGGAGATGATCATCACAGTCCTGCCAGGGTCTGTGTGAACCCTGTGCTGTTCAATGTACCCATAAAGAATCCTGGAAAAAAGAGGAACAAGGAGGTGAGGAAATCAGCTGATGATTTAATGTAGGGAGAGCTAAAGTGGACAGGAAAATGTTATAGAAGCCCAAGTTAAGTAACGAGCCAGTAAATGACGTATAAAATATAATGTCTAATGAGTGCAAACTGATGCTCTTGAGGCAAATGCTGCTCACTGTAAAACAGCTGGAAGCCACTGACCTGTCCAAGTGTTGAAGTGCTCAGCAGCTGACAGGGAAAATGGCAAATGGAATGTTGGATATTAGGAAAGGAAGAGATAACAAAACTGAACAGTCAAAAGTGATTTAATTGATGGAGCTGCTTACAGGTGGAAAGAAAAAGCAGAGGGACGTGATTTTATGTATCTCCATTATCAATGTGGAGGAAGGGGAAAGCAAGTGGTTGTTTACACTTCACTCTCTCCCATGATGTGAGAGCAGGGAGGCATCAGGAAGTGCATTTTCACGCAATTATAATTAACCTGTGGAAGTCATTGCCACGGGATGTTATGGGAGCCAAAAGTGTAAAGGGAGTTCAAAAAGGGATTATACAAATTAATGGAAGAGAGTCCCTTCAGAGGTTATTAAATCTGGCATCTGGCTGCAACCTCTGGCTGGAGCAGTGTCTGCTGGTGATTGCCAGAGCCAGGGGGAGGCAATAAGGGAATGGTCCTTCATGCTGCATCTTTGGCTGAGCATCTGCTCTTGGTCTTTGTCAGAGAGGGGATTCTGGGAGAGATGAAACTTTGATATATGATCTAGTCTGTCTGGTCAATGTTTTATTCTCAGATTCCTAACCCTAGTTTAATACAAAATGAACTTTGTGTATGTTTAACCCTGTAGCGTTCAACCTTTCCCCTTTCCACTCGTTATCTGCCACCCCACCACAAATTGTTTGCCATTTCAGGTATTTTTTACTGTGTTCACTACAAGTTTCTCTGGTTTATGCTTTTTAAAGGTAGATAAACACCACTGTTTGCTCAGTGCATAAACTCCTGTGATGTGTTTGTTGGGAACTGTCACTTGAACCTCTTTTGCAAGTTAAGGACTGTGTTTGGCACTAAATTCATTGGTTATTTTGGGTATATTCTGTAAATCTACATCTTTTACAGTGTACTAGAAAGTTGTTTTCCTTTTCTGGATGAGTTTCAGGTATTGTACTCTTTTGTGCTGAGTTACATTTATAGCCATAAATGGGTTTTTTGCTTATTTGGTCACATTTATAGCAGTATTTATGTTGCACAAACGGGAAGGAAAACACGTTCAGCTTGTCATTCTTCTATTTTACAAGTCCAGCAGGGTCAATAACACAATAAGCACATGCAGGTTTGGATGAGAGGGGTCTTTTAAAGCGTTAGGGGTTCCCCATGAGAAATGCAATTCTGAAAGGGAGGGTCAGTTTTAACCCAGTTTTGTTCTAACACCAGTTTCCAGGAGACGGACAACGCGTGGCACGGGGGGTGCCTGGCCCTGGCCGAACTGGGCAGGAGAGGATTGCTGCTCCCTTCCCGAATTTCAGATGGTGAGTTGGAGGTCATATAAGTTCATGAAATAACAATTTGTATTATTAGAGATCAAATGTGTGGCAATAGGCTGGAATTTGCTGATGTGAGTGTGCTGAAGGATTCAGTATTGAATTCTGGAGTAAAACATACGCCCATGGGGATATTTAAGTACTTCTGTCAAAGCATTGGCTTGGGTGTGCCTTTTTTATACTTAATAAATATTTCTTTCCAAAATGGAATAATTTCTTGGGGTTTTTTTTCTTTCTTCCTCCCTCCCATGTTTCTTTGTGCAGTTGTATAAAATAATTCTGAATGTCTCTATATTGTGTCAGTGTCATTATTTAAATAGAATATATTAAATAATTGATGACTAACTTGCACTTTAAAGCCAGTAGCTTGTGCTGTTTGTTTCTGGTTAAATTTCAAAGGCCAGTTTCATGTAATTTATACATTAACTGTTTATGTTTTTAATGGGTTTTTGAAATAGCAGGATGGAAAGAAAAAGAACAGGGCAGAGGAATTGTTTCTTTGTGTGTTCTGTAGTTTTCAACATACATTGAAGTACAGAGGTACTAATGTGAAAAGGAGGAGTTCTCTGTGATTTTGGTCAATGTTTTACAGAGTGGGAATGACAAAAGCACAGTGCAGCAGTACACATCCACTCTTGGGTGCTTTTACAGCAGTGTCTTGTTCCAGGTGGTTCTTTGGATCCCCTCTGGTGCTCCTGTGCTGAACAGAGAAGTTGAACCCTAAATTTAAAAATGTTTCAAAACTGGTGTTGCCAAATCTTTCCTATTCTGAAGATCTGTAAAATATGGCATTTAATACAGTTTATTACTGTGTCTCCATAGAAAGAATTCATGTCCAGTGTGGCACGTGCTGCACGTGAGAAGGTTTGTGCAGTGAGCCTTCAGTTGGTTTCTCTTTTTAATTACTTTTGCCCTTACGTGATAAAGGTGAAACAGTTAAAAACCTCCCAGCTTAAGGCTGGGGAATCATGAATGGAAAATCCTCCAAAGGTAAGCCTCTGACAAAAGCAAAACTGTACATCTCTGTCAGGGAATCTGGATAACCTCATGTCAGAGATTTTTATTTCATTTGAGGAGGGGAGATCAGGTAGAGTTCATCACTGGAGCTTGTTTTTATGGATAATATTTGTATAGAGATGGGGGAGAACAAATCCTTGAAGTGTATGGAAAAACCACCAAGAATGTTTTCCTTTTTCTCTTACATTCAAATTAACAAGAAAAGAGATACATGAGGTTTTTTTTTTAAATTATGGATAAAGGTAACTATGAAACTTTCTGCTTCCAGAGAATAGTGAGGCAAATAGTAATGTAGTGTGAAAAGCAGCAGTGGTGACACTAGACTGTAATTTTGTGTTTGGAAATTAGGGATTTGGTAGTGTCTGTCCTAAGCTTGAAGCTTTAAACTTGGACTGGAAAGCAGCCCTTTCTCCTTATTTAATGACATACTGATGTACAGCTCTATACATCACCCTGACTTACTGCTTGCTGTTGTCATTTGAGTTAATTGAGCTTTTCCTGTTACCTCATTCCCTCTGTTCAAACTCAGGTTGCTATTCTTGCCTTCTGATAATCTGGGAGAAGCTTTTTTCTGTGAAAGATGAAATTACAGATCAGTGTATTCTCATTTTGTTTCTTAGCTCGGAAGCTGAACCCCTGTAATTTACTGTTTAATGTTGAACTGGTTACAATGCTCTGGCTGAGCTGTTGGCTCAGAGCACCACAGCATGAAACATGAGGGGAAAAAAATCTGGGAATTCTGCATTATATTGAATGCAACTCCACTTCCTTAGGTAGGTTCACACCTACTAGTGATGCTCAGGCAGGGGAGGATGTATTTTACCTGAATAATGATCAGTGAAAAATGTATACCCATGGGTTTATGTGAATAACACTCCCTCTGGGTTTATCCTTATGCTGATACTGCCACTGTGCAAATTTACACAGGGGAGCAGCCTTATTTTAGTTTAAAACTTCTGTAGCAGTTTGGATAAGCTGGACAGCAGCTTTAAGGCAGAAGGAATTTTGAGCTTTGTTATGTGGAGCTGAAGTATGGATGAATTATGTGCATAATGAATTTGCATCTGAAAGAAGCTCCTTTAGGGTCGATTGGTGTTCATGCCAAAATTCTGCTTGTCAACTGAAAATTTAGTTAGCAATTTCTGGCTGCTTTTTCTTCAACATACATGTTATAGTGTAGTGAATGCGTTTGTGTTCATGAACGACTTTCCATATATTTTAAATACAGATCACAAGATTTATTTGAAAAACTGCCAGTTTATATACACAGTCATAGAAGCAGGAATTAGTTTGGGCTGTCTGTAGAAGCACACAGAAAATGACAGTGAGTGATACACACATACTGAAACAGGACCTTCACCAGGAGAGTTTGCCTCAGGTGAAATAAATTATATAAATAACCTTTTAGACCTGGAGTTTGAAGGCTGCCCAGTGTCTGTCTAACCTCAGCAAAGCAGGCACCTAAACTGTTTAGTTCTTCATATTTTCAGTGTTGTTTTCGTAGTGATTCATTTAAAGTTGAACATGAACTTCATTTGTTAAACCCATTCAGGCTTTCTTTGGTTTGACTTGAATCTTGGTCTTAGTGTGAGGAGAGCTCACTTAAACAGGCTTTGGGTCAGTTTGGTTAAACTGGCATCTGTCTCTGAGTAACTAAATTTGATCTGTTCTGTCTTATGGCAGAATGGCAAAGTGCATTCATACACAGAGCAGTTTTTACAGTAAATTCTGAATAGCCAGGTTTAATCTTAAGCTTATTTAAACTACTGCACAGTGACATGAAAAGGTTTTCAAAGAAAAAAGACAAAAATCCCCTCTACTAGATGAAGTTAAGCCTGAAAAAAGACTATGGCAGCATGTTGTTGAGCAATATTATTTCTAGAGCTTAAACATCTTTTAAGAAAAGAAGTTGTAAAAGTTATTTTACATCAATACAATTGCAAAAACCCCTTAAAGACTCATCTAATGTACTTTGGCTTTAGTAATGAATGCAAAAATTCACTCATCAAAACCTGAGCTTATACAAGGCAAAGTTCAGTTACTTAAAAATATTAATATAAAATTATAAACATTATTTACAATGGAGAGATGGAATGCATCTTGTCAAGGGCCAAGTCCAATGAGAGACACATTGTAGGAATTCCGTGATGTTGCTGGTAACCAGCTCCTGTGACCAGAAAAGGGGAGGATTAGGACACTCTTGTCCTCTTCCTCAAGGTGAAGACTCTGCTGCAGTCATTGGGCCTGACTCTCTTAGCGCCTTGCTGGGCCTTTGCGGATTCCTTTTGATTTGTCCTTTTTTGCCCCTTAACTTTCTGATTGCACTGAGTATCCTGAGCATCAGAGGAATTACAGGAGGCTTCCGTGGCCAGAGCTTTGCTGTCCTGGGGGCTCTGCCCGTCGCTGTCCAGCCGGGCCGTGCCGGGGCTGTACGAGGCCAGCTGGCACAGGGCCACGGCCGCCGTCTGCTTCTGCTCGTCACAGCTCTCCATGAGCCGCAGATCCTGAGCCTCGCTGCGCTGTCCTGGGAAGGATTTGTCACAGGCACTGCTGGTGGGGTTCTTGGGGTTGCCTCCCTCCACCCCGGAGCTCTCGCTCTCGGTGCCAGGGGTGGCGGCAGCGCCGTTGTCCTGAGATGGGCTGTGGAAGGACGTTTTCAGGCTCGCTGTGTTACAGGAATCCTTCACCGAGAGGTTCAGGGGCACGTCCTGCAGGTCCAGAAAGCTCTGCCTCTCTGGTTTGGATGGGGTTTTGTACACGTGCTCGTGGATAGGTCCTGTGCTTGTGTCGGCCTTTTTGGAGAGATTGAGAGGAGCTATCCCCGTGTCTTCCTCTGTGTTGGACAGTGAGCCTGCGTTGTTCTGGCTGTCAGGCTGTGTGTGTGAGTCTTCATCAGTGACGTTAATGCTGAAAGAAATGAGGAGAAAAGAGAATTCACTATCAGTTGCTCTTTTGAACTGGGGGCTGAGGGGCAGGAGGAGGAAAAAATCTGGACTTCTAGGCTAGAAGTCTGACAATTTTGTTGTTTCTCCTTCAACTCCCCAAGTCCCTTTCACCAGACCTATCACTGTAATACAGGTAATTCCCTGAAGTACACAAACACACACATAGTTACTGCACTGGAAATGCCTGGTACCCTTAAAGAGAGGTGAGTGGGCTGCTGTGGGCTGCACTGTGCTGTGCACAGTTAGTACAGAACATGTTGTCTCCCTGCTGTAAATTTAAATATATTTAAGGGGCATTGCATGACATGTGCCCATCTGTCTTTGCGTGCCCCTGGTAAACCTGACAAGCACTTGCAAAGTGATTTTGTTACTTTACCTGGTGGGTGAGTCCCCTCTCTCCTGCTGCGTCTGCACACCTGGAAGTGCAGTCGCTTGGTCAGTGCTTTTTCTCACGGGTCTGAAGGCTGTGAAGTTTTCTTCTGGTTGGTCATACTTGCCCAGGGATGTGGAAGATGACTTGTTGGAGAGGTCAAATAAGCCCTCGCACGCGTGGCTTGTCTGGGTGAAGTTGGTGGGGCTGGGTCTGCCAGGGGAGCCCGTTGCTGCGCTGCCCGCGAGAGGGCTCATTTTGGCATTCTCTCTTTCATTTTGGTCATCCTTGGGGTTACCTTTGCCATGCAACAATGTCATTTCTTTTTCATAATCTGCTTGTTTTTTATGTGAGCTTAGAGGGTATTGTTGGGAAGGGCTTAAAGAAGCTGGGTACAGCAAGGTAGTTTCTTCCATCAGATGAGAGTTTTGATCCCTGTTTATACCAGCTACGTGTGAAAATCTGTAAAATGGGGGATCTGTTGGCCTACAAAATCCATATGGTATTGGTGGAGTGGAGTGATATTGTTGGAACAATCTATAGTGTTCGTATGCTGATGGATTTATGGGTTTTGGAAGTGGCCCAGGGTGGGGAAGAAAGTGTCTTTGATCTTGTGCTCCATAGACAGAGAGGGCAGAGCTTTCACACTCCGAGTT